TCCGACGACGCTTTGAAGACCCCTCGTTTTTTTCTTCCTCACAGCCTTCTTCCTCAATAATCCCCTTTTCAGTCATAATTTCCCTAGCTTGCGATCCATCTAGTGCACCGCTATCCTGTAGTCGGGTTCTTTTAGCTCTCCGCCGTTTACTAAGAGCTGTATTTGCATCCCGAAGATATTGTACCTCCTCTTGTAAAAGGGCAGTTAGATGAGAAACAGACTGTAAACCTTTAGAAAGCTTATTAACTGCATCATAAATTGGAGTTAGCGAGCTTCCCTGATGCCTGGATATTCTTTCCTTTATAAGTGAGGACTGACAGAGAGCCTCGTTGGTGGTTTGAGGTGTCTTAGAAACCCAAGTATTGGGTGACTTAACTGGGGTATTCGGGGCTGTTGGAGTCCGTAACTGCACATTAAGCTTTAAAAGCACAGCTTGGGGGTCATAAGGAATAAGCCCAGCCCCTCTAAAACCCCCAAACACATTTTCTGGACTAAAGGTTTGAAAGAAGGCGGCTTTGAACGCGAGGAAGAACTCCGGTTTAGTGATGTGTGTAATCCGGGCCTTGATAAAGTGCTCAATCTGAGAGCTATATCTCAGCTTTAACGCACTATAACACCCAACGTCGAGAGGCTGAGTAAGATGTAATGAATGAGAAGGTAAGCAAAGAGTTATAATCTTATTCTCTTTGCAATACTCTTCAAAATCGCTGCTAACGTGGCTTTCATAGCCATCAACTACTAGCATCCGATATACGCCTTTCAGTCGTAGCTTTGTATGTTTATCGAAATGCTGAAGCCATTCTAGACCAGTCTCGTTATTTGTCCATCCATTAGAAGTTGTCTTGACCACCCAGGTGTCCGGAATCTGGGCCTCAGAGTACCAACTGGCGAGGTGGAAGCGGCCTTGGACCACTAAAAAAGGCGGCATTGCGTAACCATCACCACCAACACAACAAATCGCTGTCGCCCATTCTCGATTGCCGGGCTGGATATTCTTGGGCTTCCCAATCCGGTCGGAGCGTGTTACCACCATTCCAGGGCGAATCATACCCATCATAAAGCCGGTTTCATCAAAGTTATAGAAATCGCAGTCCTGGATGCCGTATTTTGATCGTATATTAGCCACCAGTCGGAACCATAGCTCAATAATCGCAGAATCTTCGCAGAGGCCTCTCTAATAGTCATAGACGCGAGAAAAACGCGTCTTGAGCTCTGGACGTCGCTTGATAAAGCGTTCTGTCCAACGCTTCCCGACCGGTCGGCTTCCACGCTTCCGAAGCAGGGTATTGGCCATATCTTCCACATCAGCCTATCGGGGCGAGAATCCTCGGGAGTCCAGTTCGATAATGTATTGAACAATCGCTTCCTCTTCGGTATTTATCAAATTCAGGCGCGCGTTCCTGCTATTGGCTTTTGAAGTTCGACCGTTCATTCTAGCGTGTAGGGTAACTTTTGGGATATCGTAAAGGGTTGCTGCGTGTCGGATACTCAATTGTGGATTCAATTGAATCGCCTCAATTGCTAGAATAATTCTGCTTTCTTGTGAGGCGTTAGGCATTATTTTGTGGAAGAAAATACGCGTTGAAGCTAGATAGCGAAGGGAGTGGAAAAAGTGTCCCGGTCGATGATGGTGTCCCGCTCAATGATGTACCACGTTAATTAAATTATTTAAAATAAAAGAGCTTATTAGTAGAACTTAAAGTAGTACTATAGCTTAATAAAGTAGTAATTAATAAAAGTAGTTTATTAAATATATAGGGGGTAGTTAGAATAAGGGGGACCTTTTATATATCCCCAGTCATGTAAAAATTCACAAAAGAATTCTTCACAAAATATTAGGGCTTATAGTTTCATTATGTTTACTTATCTATCGGGTGCTAGGAAATTTGCCTCATATTCACGTCTGGTTGCGACGACGGCGACTTCAATAGTCTGCCTCTTAAGTCCAGGTACCTCCCGTGTTTAGCAGTGATGTTTTATTAACCGTCTTGCCGAGTGCGCGATATAGTGGCGCCACTTGGCCTTTGCCCTGAACCAATCTTGATTATGAAATACACGAAAACGCCTGCTATGTCCGATGAGCGAACACCATCGGCCTTCTCAACAATCTGATTGTCTCGCGGAACCCCTGAGGGCTTTCACCAAGCGCGATGACGAACTCTAGTGAGGCTGGAAAGGGAGTTATCATCCCGAAGTCCTAGGTATCTAAGATGGGAGAATAGAGCTCCCTAGCCGCTGCAAGTTTGAAAAGAGAAAGCCTTGGAGCTGAGTCCAATTTGAGGGCTGCTCTCCAAGGGCAAAGCAGCTTTTTCTGTCCTTTGAGATGGACCTGTGCCTACGCTTTCTGACTGCTCGCTTAGGAATGAATCCCAACGGTGAAACATACGCTCGTAACGGCCCAAATGCATGACCTTGTTGCGTTTGAAACGCTCTGAGTCTCGGTTCCTCGGCTTATATGCTCACCGGAGTATTGCGGGCTGGTATTAAGTAGGTATGCTTTTAACACGCCACGGCAAGTTCCTTCGGCTTTGCGGTGCGCGCATGTTGACCTCCTGCGTCTTATATGATCCCATGTTTTCTAATCTTGCTTCAATCTACCATTACGCTCCGATATTGTGGAATCATTTCTTGCGTTGGAGATTCATTCGCCACATCACTGAAGCCATGGGAATGAAGACCATATAACAGACGGCACTAGACAATTTCATTTGGTTTTTCGAAGATGACCAAATGAAGATCTCAAATTCCTCAGCTAGATCCCATGACCCTTTAAATCAGCCCCACAAGGAAGATAGAGCCAGAGTCATGGTTTCGAGCGCTGTATGCGGCTTGAACTCGAACACGGCCAGCCTCAGGGACATACCCACCATCAATATTCAGATGTCGATCCATAGGCGACTCCCCGGTCGTGAATGATCTGTGGGCGTTTGCCAGGCTGAGTATGTTACTTGAGACGGGCTGTCTAAGACGGTGAACTTGACCTTGAACTAGCAAGGTATCTTTATCAGGGCATTTGGAACGCCGATTTTGATGACAATTGAGAGAATGTTTAGAGAAGTAACGCGCTGCTCAAGAGAAGTCTACGAGCGTACTCAAGAGGCGCCATGATGTGAACACCTAACGATGGAGCAGGAAGCAGCTTCTGAAAGTATTTTGTCACGCCCTTGGAGGTATTCACATGCCTTGCGGATGGAAAGACACCACCTTCGGCTCGACCACTTTCTCGATGACAACATTGAAGCTCGTTCAGGCACTACGCACAGCATGGACATCTCATCCTCATCATCGAAGTCCTTTATTCAGGGACGACTTGCCCTTCATCATCCCCAAACTGAAGCTCCGCTTGCGTGAGACCCAACGCTCCCTCATTAATGTCTCCTTCCTCAACAGGATCCCGTTCGAGGCCCTGTGGTATGTCTGGGGAAAAGCTACTCATAAGCGCTTCGTGGGGTGGACGTAGCATGCGTTGTCCTGACGAATAACTTGCATGCCGCGCTGCCACTGCTGAGAGACACGAATCATGACTGTATATTGAAGATGTCAATGTGCCGAATATGCTAGGACCAAATGTGACAACCCCTAAGACTATGTCTATGAACTTCGACCTTTAAACGAGTCTACTACCTTCTTCGCATATGACCGGCGATCACCCCTTTTTTGCTCGCTCCTGTCGACCTCACCACCGATAACCCGACCCTTGACACCTTGATTCATATCGTTCAAGGAGTAGTCCGTCATCAACAAGCCGCAGATGAGCACTGGTACACAGATGACAAGAGCGATTGTGAGCAAAGTGGTCATGGTCTCTTGATACGCCCGATTGATTGCATCCCTCTCCGGTGAGCCTACTGCATACGCCTGCGCCTCGACAATGCTGCCATATATGACACTTACCTGATCCTTGGCACCCTCTGGGAGATAGAGCCGCAGCTTCTCCGGCACGAGTCTGCCCCAAAGCGCACCACTGATGGCCGACCCGATTGCGCCGCCGAGACTCGTCAGCGTGAGGAAGATAGCCGTTGCGGTACCGACGTACTGGTGACCCGCGCTCGCCTGCACGCCCACCTGCGCGGGTACATTCAGGAAGCCGCCGCCGGCACCCACCAATATTTGGGTGAAGACGATGGCGGACAGGGACGCGTCCTGGGTGCGGAAGTGCATCATGAGTCCCATGCCCGTCAAGTACATGCACGAGCCGGCGACGACGAACCACTTGTAGTGGTTGGTGAGCTTGATGAGGAGGGAGATGACGATAGAGGCGACGGTGGAAGACTGGTAAAAGATGTTGAGGATGTATGAGGCGGGCTGGATGTCGAGGTTGCGCACGACGAGGAGGTAGGAGTAATAGTAGGGCTGAACGGAGAGGTAGAAAGCCACTGCTTTTGTCAATTGCTGTCTCCTCAAAACATACAGAGAGGACAGAATGACTCACTAAAGTAGAAGACGGCGAGCATGGAGCCCGCGCTAAAGGTCCTCGACTTGAGGAGATGCAGCGGAACCAGCGGATACGGCGACATGTTGGCCAGCACGCTCCCCAGGGCTCCTTTTACCCCCAATTGGCGGCCCAGCTGGGTGCTCACCTCCCATAGCGGGAAAAGCACAAGCAAGAGGACGCCAAGGGTAACCATGGCGACGATGCCCCCGTTCTCCCAGCCGTCGGGGACGGTGCTGGATATGGTGCAGGGGACGAGGATGAGGGTGAACCCCCCGCTGAGGAGGATGATGCTGCCTACGTCGAGGTCCCGCCAGATGTTTCCCAATATGGTGAAGAAGCCGCCTCTGAGGGTGGGCGAGCCTTGGGGCGCGAGGTTCAGGGCCCGGGCTCTCCGTCCATTGAGGAATAGGAGTAGGGCGAGGGGCAGGAAGGCGACGGGGAGGATGATGGTCCACATGGCGTACCCCCAGCGCCAATCACCCGACGACTCATAGATGCTCTTCGCGATCGGTGGTCCCATCCACGTAGTGAACAGGTACGGAATGTCTGGCAGCGTCGAGAACAGGGCTCTATTGGACAGGTCACTCGTGTCGGCGATGAAAATCTGCTGCAGGATGAGCATGCCCGTAGAACCAGCAGAATAGAAGATCTGAGCCGAGGCGAAGGTCTGGACATTGGTGGAGGCGGACATCTGGATGTAGCCGAGCACGAAGAGAAAGACGCTCAAGGTGAAGGCTTCGAGGCGGCCAAAGACGTCTGCGATCTTGGCCATGGGGGGTTTTACCACGGCTATCTGGGAGTCAGAGGGTGCCGAACTGAGTGGAAGAGAGACGAGACAGAGGGACCTACCGTTGATGACGCCTTGGACGACGGAAACAGTCGAGACGAGGGAATGCTGGCGGAACGAGCTGGTCACGTAAACGAGCAGCGGGAGGGTGACCTGGCCCTCGAGGGATGTGGTGAATGCCATGAGCATGATGCTGCCAGTGTGTCAGGAGCTGCTGTTGACATGACCCTAGATTCAGTACACGAAGAGTAGACGTACCCGATGTAGGCAATCGCGAGAGCATTGCCAGTCCAGGACAAGGAGATGGCTTCGATCCCGCGTACGCCTTCCTGGATGCTTCCATGTGTCGAGACCGCGTCACTTTCATCGCGGGCCATGGGTCTGGCGACAATGGTGCGGATCTCAAGCACCTCCTGCTTGCTCTCTGGGCGCTCCTCGTCGGACATTTCAGTGAGTGGTCAATATGGATGTTCAATAGGGGTAGTCAGTATAGGTGACGGATATGTTGGTTGTCAATATGACTGCAACGGATATGATTCACACTTCATCAGGCTCGAAGATCAACTCGGAGCGGATATGTGTGTTATGAGAGAGACAACGGGCGCAGCAACATCACAAATCAAATTCCGGGCTTTCTTGAACAACAGGAATGAATGCCCTTGAAACAACCTCGTCGTCAGTGGTACTAGGCGCAGGGAACGACTGCCTGGCAAGATCAAGGCGACTGCCAGCTCAGTAGCCATGCAAGCAGAGAGCTGCATATGAACGCCTCACTCGGCCGTTCTATCATTCTCGCTGGTTTTTGCCTTGGCTGACTTGCTGCTAACCTTTCTGTAAATGCAGAAACTCTTGGCTGTAACATTATCGCTAGATTAGTCTGTCACTATGCTGTTTAAAAGGCACATTGATACAAACTTTGTAGGCAATGTCTTGGGGAAAGGAAAGACAGCCCTGAGCCCACTCCTGGTTCAGGGAAGTTTGCTGTGCTCTGCGCACCACGATCGAGCTCCGAGGGAGAGCCTAGCGCGTATTGATTGATAAGATGCCTTGGCTCTTGGAGTGGAGTAAGACGGACATGGACATACATGCAGCGTGCAGAATGACTGTATCTGCATTGGGAATCGGTGTGACTGCGAGTTGCATGAGCAGGGCGCGGGCCTCTCGTTGGAAGCCACTCCAGCGGCAGCATTCAACCGGGCAGTTTCTCGGGTCGCCTGTCCTACGCAACACACCATTCTCAGGCAATCATCCTGGCTGCATCAGCCATCCAGGCATCATCAGGCAAATGAGGCAGGCATTGTGGTGGCGAATTTCAGTCAGCATGAAGATGTGCATCTTTTCCTTTTTACACTTTCGATCCATCATTCTATTGTGAGTGCGAAAATGAGACCAAAGAGCAACTTCTAGCGAAACATTTTCGTGGCGGATTTGCGAACCAGGCTGTTGGAAGACGGTAAGGCAGCCTTGGGTGAATCGATAGTGTATATGCACATGTATGTTTCAGACTGTTGATGGACCAAGGCACGGTACTTTGGGGCCCCACTCATGCGAAGCTGACCGTTTCTCTTTCTTTTTTTTTCAGCCAGACAAATGGCGCTCAACGTAGTGTACCTGTATTGTCTATACATTCTGGCTGTGATAGATGTACCAACCAACGCTTTTCACTCTACAATGAGCGAATCGCATTGAAGGCATCTAAACCCTGTTTACCTACACCGTCTCGTATCAGCTGAAACCTCGCTGAGAACCACCCGAGTCTTCGGCCGCGAATAGTAACAGGCTATGCAAGGCGAAAGGGACTTCCGATTCTCTGTCGTGTGTTGTAAAATACAGAAGTGAATGGGAATGAAGAATGTCTTAGTTACATGACTGTGCAGATCAACGCCCCAGTACCTCCAGCAGCGGCGGCGGCAACAGCTTCAATCATGTCAGCATCTGTTCTCCCTCTTAAGGCAACAAATGCTGTTGAAAACAGGGAAACAAACTTACCAGTCAGGGTGCTTGCCGTGATGCCCGCAGCGATGCCATTCGTAGCACCATTGACAATGTTCGCACGATAGCCTGTAAACTTCTTATGCGCATCGCGAACCTCGGAGATTTCCTTCCTCAAGTTGCCTACGGTCTGATTCTTCTCGTCGACCAACGATGACAAAGACGCCTTGCTCTCCTGTCGTGAGCTTGCTGACGATCGGGTTACCCTCTCGAGGCGTCGTTGTCGCTTGGCTTCTTCTCTGACGAGTATCTCATGTTTTGCTTTCACCTGGGCGTGGAACATCTTCTCCAGGTCAAGCAGGTTGTTCTTCCACTGCTGCTGGTATTCCTTGTGCAAGTCTTGTATTGACTTATTGAGCGCTTCCTTCTCTGTCTCAATTTTTCGCATTTGGTCGTGTAAGTCCTGCCGCAGCTCCCGGATCTCCGTCAGATGCGCCGCGTTCGTTTGCGCTGCGAGGCTGGAGAGCATCTCATCGTCGTCTTGGGCCGCCTGTTGCAGTCGCCGCTGGTAGGCCTGCTGACTCTTGTCGAGGCCTGCAGCAACAGAGCGGCCGGCGGCCGTCTGGCCGAGGGTTTTACCTTCAATGACGATCTCGCGCTGGAGTTGGAGTACGTCGAGGGGGTGCATGTCTGAGCGGCGGACAAGGTGAGCTATGATGTTCCGCGCGGCTCTCATCTGCTCTGTCGGGTCTTGCGATCCCGTCTCGTTGTACCGAAACGCCGTCGCGCCACGACTGACAAGCCCACCGAAGAACATCTCCTGAGTGCACAGCTCCCTATGCCTTCCCTCCAACACAGTCTTCTGCTCCTCCCCTCCATTCCCCGTAGATAACGGCCACATTGTTGTGACGATAGCCAGGTTCTCGCACCGCGACGGCCACGAAGACGAAGCGAATCCGCACACCGCCTCGACCATCTCGATGCACCGAAGGCTGGACCCGGACATGCGGTTCTCAGATACAGGTTGCAGCATGAGCACGCCGTGGATTCGCACGCCGTTGGCGTACGAGGCGGCCAGGCTAGAGGCGAGGACTTCGAGGATCTCGACCTCGGGGTGGGCGGTATCGTTGAAGCCGGGGGTGTCGATGAGAAAGATGCGGCGGCCGTTCCAGTGGTAGTCTGCTACGTAGACGGAGCTTGTGCCTTTTCTTCCACGTAAGCATGCGATTCGATGTCGATGGGTAGAATGATGAGACAGGAGGAAGAGGTACATGAATACAGGCCGTGGCCGACGATGACTTGCTTTCCCGTGCACTGTCTGATAAAGGTGCTCTTCCCTGATCCCGTTCTGCCCATAGCGAGGAAGAACATGTCCCAGTGATTGGGCTTGACTATGCCGGTTAGAGCTGCGAAGAGCTCGGCTTGGTCAGCGACCTCTCTGGCGGAAAAGTCCATTAGTGATGATAAGGTGGTCACCACTAGAATATTTCCAATAAATCGATTGAATATATTCTATAGTAACAGAGCGACGTCACATGAGATGATATTAACACAAGAAAGACGATGGTTCACTTCAATATCCTGCCAACCCCAACTGAGTACCGATAAGTACACTGCACCGGACCACACACACCTGTCAGGCTCCCTCACAACGCCAAAAGCGTCTCTGAGCGCGTTCTACACGTGTGAAATTCCTTGAATCAGAGTCAGTTTAAGGAGGCGGGAGAGGAATGTACAAAAGCAGGCTAGGGCGGAGGCTTCACTCGAAGTCGAACTCAGCCTTGCACTCAGAGGGTGAAATGGTTCGCAAAATGGTCAGCACAGTCTGCCGGAGAGCTTCGGCACACAGTGACTCAGCAGGATGGAGAAGAGGGTGAGCACTAATGCATGCAGATGCATTGGGGATGGATGTCTTATCAATCTTCCTTGCGAATGCTACTTCGACCAGGTACCAACGCAGGTCGTCTCCCAACTGACGATCCTCCATCTCGAGTTGCAAATCGTTCCGTCTTACCTCTCGGTCTATCTGATTCAAGAATCTGATAGATAAGGCCTAGGAGATTCATCTTCTGCTTTCACGTTGGGGAGCGCACCCTTTGTACTTCGCGTAGCGCGCGGGCATACGACCACAATGGCGTCAGACCTGATTGATTTCTGGGACGACACGCAGCATAGCACCTTTCATTTTCGGGCTGGGCGACATCCAAGGTAAGATTCATATGTAACAGACTTCATCGTGTATATTTCTAAGTCTTAAACAGGAAGAATGACGTCTTTATTGCCGTGATGGGTGTCACTGGCTCGGGCAAGAGCTCGTTCATCGAGCACTGCTCAGGCAAGCCCGTCCAGATCGGCCACAATCTCCGTGCAGGTGATTCCATCACTGTCTTGCCGCCATAGAACAGTATGACCCTGACAAAGGTTAAGGCACTACCACCGTCGACGTCTACGCCTACGACATGTCCCCCGTGCGCACCGTCTACCTCATCGATACCCCGGGCTTCGACGACACCACCCGAAGCGACGCCGAGGTCCTGGGGGAGATCGCCGTCTGGCTCGGCGCCTCGTACCGGCAGCACACCCTGCTCCACGGCATCATCTACCTGCACCGCATCACGGACCGGCGTATGCAGGGGGCCGCCCGCAAGAACATCCGCATGTTCCGCCAGCTGTGCGGCAACGATGACGCGCTGAGCAAGGTGCACCTCGTGACCACTATGTGGGATCAGGTCGACGAGAGCGTGGGCTTGCGGCGCGAGAAGGAGCTGGTTGCTACGACGGAGTTCTGGGGCGCCATGGTGAGTAAAGGGAGCTTGTATTACCGGCACTACCACACATCCGAGTCGGCCAAGAGGGTGGTGAACCGGCTGGCGGCCCACAACCAGCCGATCACCACTGACATGCAGCGACAGCTTGTCGACGAAGGGAGGAGGCTGAGTGACACGGCGGCGGGGCAGGAGCTGGAGAATGAGCTCATCCGCCAGCGAGAGAAGCTAACGGGCGAGCACGCCGGCATGGAGGAGGAGATGCGCGCGGCCGCCAGCGAGAACGACGCGGAGCTCATGGAGATGCTCAAGGAGGAGCTGGCCAACTCAGCGGGCGCAATACAGAAGGTTGAGAAAGAAATCAGCGACCTGCGCGTGACGATGGAAACGATGATTGAGCAGCGGGACGCCGCGTACAGAGACCAGCTGGAGCAGATTCGGCAGCAGACCGAGATGCTCAAGGTAGTCAAGGAGCAGGAGGAGGAGGAGCAGCCGATCGCGGCTGGGCGGTCGGAGAGCAAATCCGAGACGCGCTCCATGAGGACGGCGCACTCTGTCGAATCGGTCGAGACGACATTGCACGCCGATGGGTCGCCGTCTAACTCGAGGAAAATGGAGGAGGACAGGGGCCAGCGATCGTCGGCTTCTCAGGTCAAGCGGCTGCCAGAAGATAGTCCGGTGACTTCAGTGTCGATGTGGGGCGTTGTCATCTGCATCATAGGCGACACGGCTATCAACTCGTCGGACTTTCCGAAGCTGAAGCTGGACTCTTCGTACCTGCGAAACATCAGCCTAGGCGACGCCGCCGACGGGTCCAGGTCCTGGATCGCCAGGTACGAGAAGACATGGAGTGAGTACCTCTTCATCACATTGTGTATAGAAGCATGCTGACGCCTACAGTGACCTCGGACAACCTCAGCCAGCTCTACCCCGACCTCGGCGAGGGCATCAAGCTCTATGGCCTCCGCAAGCTTGAGTTCTGCTTTCTCGGCCCCGATAGCTTCTTTGTCGCCCGTTGGAACGACGGCCACTCACGCTGCTCGCTCCCGCCGAATTTCCCCAAGATCATTGAGGGCCGGAACCACATCGTCGACGTAGCGTTTGGCTGCGGGCAGAGCTTTTTCGTTGTCTATGTGGCACCCGGACAGAAGAGCGTGTTCCGATACGACCTGAAGGACTACTATCAGGACTTGAAGCTGTTTCTCGAGAAAAAGGAGAATAAGAAGATTGACATTCTGGTCAGTCACCGTTTGTTGTTACTTTCTTCTTATAGTTTATACTAACATCGGTAGGCTATCACGCTTGACCCTAACACGACGGACTACATCCTAGTGTATACATATCCTATGTTCATATCGAAGAAAGGTACTAAAGGTAGGAAGGTTCGTTTCCGTTGCTCAGATAAGATAAATAGAGACTGGATCTCAAACTTTTGGCAAAATACGGCGCTGGAGGCTCCATAATAATACCCTGAACTTGATTTTAGCAGGCTCTGTTTGTTTTATCCAGCATGGTCATGTACTTTCTAATGCCAAGTAATTCTCATTCATAGCTGCCGTGGATTGATATTGTCTGCGTTCAAGGGCTTCCTTTTGGCATCTCCCACTTCTAGCCAATTCAATTGTAAATAGAGTGATGACAGTCCGCCGATTCCGTTTTTGTTTGCACAGCAGCAGACGGCCTGTGTCATTGTGATGACATGATGGCTGAAGGGAACCAATCATTTTGGTGTATTGAGCGTTGACATTTGTCTGCGCACCATGCCGCAGCGCGCACTTCTCATGTTGGACAACGGTCATTGCTCGAGCAGCTTGAAAATCAACCCTCACACTCGGAGCAAACAGATTTGTAAGTAGCTCCAGGAAATTTGGGTTGCTTAACTTCCTCCTCCATGTCCTCCATCCCGTGTCAAATGATTTATCGCCTGCCGGGTGGCTTTCAGACACTGCCCATTTTGGCTGCTGCTTCAAAGTCATCAACATCTCGGTATCAGATACTATTCGTCGTTAGACAGAGCACTTACAGGTCTCGGAAGCACAGGGATTGCTTCGTCGGCCGTTCAAGGGCGTGCCCATGCAAGGGAATGTCAAAGTTCAACTTACCATTCGCGCGACACGCTCCGGCGATCTCAAATGTGCGACTTAAAAGTGTTCATATCTGCGATTCATCTTGCTACAGTCACTTTGCTTTGCAACACTGGCTAGACCGTCGTTCAGTGTCTTTTGCGACAAGATCAGAAGCAGGTGCCTATTTTTCGAAATGTTTGCCAACCTTTGTACTGTTCTAGCACGTCCGATATTCTTCAAGGGGTCGCCCAGCAGGTAAACCGTCGGCGCGTCGAACTGATCTCACTTCAAAACGCGCCCACTCACTGAAAGCCCCACTCACTGAGAAACCCCGCTCCCGCTCACTGAAAAATCCCGCTCATATCACCTGCTTTAAAAAGCTCCTCCTCACTAAAGACTTCAACAGCCCTGCACTGCACTCCCCCCCCCCCCCCCCCCCCC